ACGGCGGAGTGCCGGGAGCTCCCTCACGGCGGAGTGGCGGGAAGCCCCTCAGAGCGGAGTGGTGCGAGCCCCCTCATGGCGGAGTGGCGGGAAGCCCCTCAGGGCGGAGTGGCCCGAGCCCCCTCAGAGCGGAATGGTGCAAGCCCCTTCAGAGCGGAGTGGCACGAGCCCCCTCATGGCGGAGTGGTGCGAGCCCCCTCATGGCGGAGTGGCGGGAAGCCCCTCATGGCGGAGTGGTGCGAGCCCCCTCATGGCGGAGTGGCGGGAAGCCCCTCATGGCGGAGTGGTGCGAGCCCCCTCATGGCGGAGTGGCGGGAAGCCCCTCAGGGCGGAGTGGCACGAGCCCCCTCATGGCGGAGTGGCACGAGCCCCCTCATGGCGGAGTGGCGGGAAGCCCCTCAGGGCGGAGTGGCACGAGCTCCCTCACGGCGGGTGGTGTGAGCTCCATCAGGACAGAATGGTGTGAGCTCCATCAGGGCGGGGTGGCACGAGCTCCTTCAGGACAGCCTGGCGCGAGCTCCATCAGGGCAGAATGGTGTGAGCTCCCTCACGGCGGAGTGGTGTGAGCTCCCTCAGGACAGCCTGGCGCGAGCCCCCTCACAGCGCAGTGGCGGGAGCTCCCTCACGGCGGAGTGGCGCTTGCCCCCTCAGGGCAACCTGTAACGAGCATCCTCACGGCGGAGTGCCGGGAGCTCCCTCACGGCGGAGTGGCGGGAAGCCCCTCAGAGCGGAGTGGTGCGAGCCCCCTCATGGCGGAGTGGCGGGAAGCCCCTCAGGGCGGAGTGGCCCGAGCCCCCTCAGAGCGGAATGGTGCAAGCCCCTTCAGAGCGGAGTGGCACGAGCCCCCTCATGGCGGAGTGGTGCGAGCCCCCTCATGGGACGAGGCACGAGCCCCCTCAGGCCCCCGACGGGATCGGCTGAGGGCCGGGAGCGCGAGAAACCCTTGGAGGGTCTATGGGAGCCGAAATCCCCTCGCGGAGTGCGATCATGGCGGAGGGTCGCGAAACCCATCGAGAGTCTGCGGGACCTGCAGCCCTTCAGGTAACTGCTGAGGCGGCTGTAACACGTCGTGGCATCTGATCTTGGTTTGAGGGCACGCTAAACCCCTCACAGGGTTTGCTGAGTGCTGGGCGGGATGAGGGTCCCGAAAGCCCTCACGGTTCTGGTGAGGGGTGTGAAACCTCCCACGGGGTTTGCTGAGGGGTCTAAACCCTTTGAGAGTCCTCTGAGGGGTCTGAAAGCCCTCACAGTTCTGGTGAGGGATGTGAAACCTTTCACGGGGTTTGCTGAAGGGTCTAAACCCTTCGAGAGTCGTCTGAGGGGTCTGAAAGCTCTCATGGTGTTGTTTGCTGAGGGGTCTGAAGCCCTTCACACGTCTGCTGAGGAGGCTGGAAGCCATCCTAGGTCTTGCTGAGGGTGCTGGACCCCCTCACGGGTGTGCTGAGGGTGATGGAACCCCTCACGGGTGTGCTGGAACCCCTCACGGGTGTGCTGAGGGTGCTGGAACCCTCATGGGTGTGCTGAGGGTGCTGGAACCCTCACGGGTGTGCTGAGGGTGCTGGAACCCTCACGGGTGTGCTGGAACCCCTCATGGGTGTGCTGAGGGTGATGGAACCCCTTATGGGTGTGCTGAGGGTGCTGGAACCCTCACGGGTGTGCTGAAACCCCTCCTGGGTGTGCTGAGGGTGCTGGAACCCTCCTGGGTGTGCTGAGGGTGCTGGAACCCCTCATGGGTGTGCTGAAGATGCTGGAACCCCTTACGGGTGGTGTGGGTACTGAAATCCCTCCCGGGTGTGTTGAGGGCTGCCGGTGCGCGGCCGCTCCGGCCCGCTTATGGCCGAGCGCGGCCGGAGCTCCGCGGGCAGCGCGGCCGGAGCTCCGCGGGCAGCGCGGCCGGCCGGTGGCCGGGCCCCCCAAATCCCAACAAAGCCAGGTGTAGTGTGCCTGTAAAGCTGTGGAATAACCCGGAGCAGGACTGACACTTTCCCTACTTTTTGGTGGTTTTGGAGGGTCACACACGTGTGAGACAATAAAGCACTTTGGCAGAAGATTCCTCTCTTTTTATTTTTTTTTAATTCCTCTTTTTTAAACTTTTTTTTTTCCCCCTTGGAATATTGTGAACATATTTGTGGCCATTTAAGGTAAAGTTCCAATTTGCTGTTAGACTAACTTGTCTGTGTTTTTTTTTTTTTTTTTAATTTTTTGCTTTCATTTTTATTTTTTTTGATTAAAATTGTCGATCCCGATGTGTTATTTAAAAAAAAAAGAAAGAAAAGAAAGTGCAAGTTCCGGGCTGTGTAAATCTATACATTGTATGTACATTGCATAGGTACGATGTAACTACACGTGCGGGAGATACACCGAGGTGCGGACGCGGGGACTCGCCGCTTTATTTCCTACCGGAAAATGAACTCCCGGGAGTTCTTTTTAGTGCTGTCCGGCCTGCCAGAGGAAAATACGCAATAAAAGTGGCCGAGGGGATGAGGGAAGAAGGAAGGGCGAAAGGAGGGGGAGGTGGGGAGGTTGGCAGCATCCCCAAAAACTTGCGAGGGGGCTGCTTTGCAAAGTTTGCGGCGATGCTCTGGCAAAACGGAAAAGCTGGGCGTTGGGATTGAGGCGGGAGGCGGGAGCGAGGCAACCGAAACAAAGCAGCATTCTTAGATAAAAAAAAATATTTAAAAAAAAAAATAAAGAGACGAACGGGTAATCCAAGGAGGGAAAAAAAAACCCAAAAAAAACCCGTGTTCCTTTCGGCCAAGCGGCCGCGTCACGTGCGTCCGCGGCCCCGTATAAACGCGCTTGGCCATGTGTGCGCGCGAGCTGCGCGGATCCAAGCTGGAATCCTCGTTAAAGTGCGGCCGAGCGCGGAGCTCCATGAGCGGCGGCGGAGGGTACGGAGGCGGCGCCGGGGGGGCTCGAGCTGGGCCGGGGGGCCCGCCGAGCTGGGTTGGGCTCCGCGCCCCTTCCCTCTCTCCCCTTCCCCGCTCGGCTCCCCTCCCCCCGGGCCGCTGCCTCCGCACAGGCCCCGCAGCCGCTGCCGGCTTGTTGTCGGCCTTATCCCCCCCCTTCTCTCTTCTCCGCAAATTAGGAATCGGGGCTAATTGTCCCCCCCTTCTGTCCCCGGAACCTGCACTTCGCATCTCGCCGTGGCTTTTTTTTTTTTAATTTTTTTTTAATTTTTTTTTTTCTCCTTTGCCGTTTCTGCCTCCAAACGCTACTTTGCGTGGAAGAAGGAGAAGGGAAAAAGTTGGGAGCGGATGGCTGTAGTTTCTTCTCTGGGATCCTCATTCATTCCTCGCTGAACCTCCTGTTGCATAAATGATGCTCCGGGAGCGAGGCTTTGCCTTTTTTATTCTCCTCCGGATTTGGGTTTAAGAGTGGATGTTGCCGGGTTTGGCTCGCCTCTTTGGAAATACAATATCGCTTTTTTTTTTTTTTGTCCCTCTTGTTGTGTTTTTGGTTTTGTTTTTTATTTTTTTATTTTTTTGCTGCCCCTCCATCTTTTTTTCCCTCCCTTCTTCTTCTTGTTCTTCTTCTTCTTCTCAACCACCCACTCCCCGACCCCCCCTTGAAAAAGCAAAATCCGACCGTGTTTCCTGCAAGGCTCGGGATTTCTGATTGCGGTTATTTCCATGTTTCTAGGTTTGTGTGATTTTGCTAAAATGCATCACCAACAGCGAATGGCTGCCTTAGGGACGGACAAAGAACTGAGTGATTTACTGGATTTCAGTGCGGTAAGAAACAACGGTGGAAATTAGCAACAGCTGTAAAAAAAAAATAATAAAAAAAAAAAATTCTAGCTGCTCTGTTAACAAAAAAAAAAATCCAGCCAAAAAAAAACCCTAAAGCAACAAAACCAACCCCAAACTGTGCTCTAAGTACATTGGGCAATTTTTAATCAGCAGCTAGAAGCATGGTAAATATTTTTTTCCCTTTTAAAAAAAAAAAAAACCCCAAAAAAATTCCAAACGGAGTATTTTTAGTCTATCTGATTGTGTGTGATGGGAGATGCAGGCGCGTTCGCAGCTTGGTTTCATGTCTCGGACGGCTCAAATAATTCCTGCCAAAAGAAACTCCCCGAAAACTGACCATCCTATTGCACTTTTATTGTGCTTTCGATTTTCCAGCGTGGTTGGCACATCAACTAATTAATTGCTAATGACTCGCTGATATTCTCCTTTCGGTTCTTCCCTTGTTTCGATTTTGGCACACGGAAAGTGCAAAGAAATCCACGACTGTCTCAGTTTAAAGTTTTCCCTGAAATCTCTTACGGCTTCTGCTGGCATATTTAAACTGCTCCAACCTTGTCCTACCCGCCCCAGCCGGGATTTGGGGGTGATTTTCGAAGGGAAGAGGGATATTTTTTGTCCCCCCGGGCTGCTTTGGAGGCCGAACGTTGCGCCGGACGCGTGCACTTGTCTAGTTTTGTCAGGCTCCCCCTCCCCCTCCAACCCCTTCCTTCCTTCCTTCCTCTCCCCATCCCCTCCCTTCCCCCCAATATGTCAGGAATATCTCTCTATCCACTTAGTTATTTATTTTGGGGAAGAGCTTTCGCTGGGAGAGGCAGGTCTGCTCCTAAAGCCCAGCGAGCCCCCCCCTTTTCCCCCCCGTGCTGCTGCTCCAGCCTCGGCTTCTGAGGGATGGCTTGGGGAAGTTTGGCCAGGAATCGTAGCCTGCGGCAGCTTCGCGGCCCCCTCTCTGCTTGTCGGTGCACTTTTCCCATTTGTTCCTTGGCTTTTTGCAGGCTCTGACTCAGGGAAGGTGCGTATTATCCACTAGACACGTCGGAGAAGGGAGAAACCAATTAGGGTCGAAATAAATGCTGGGAAGAGAGAGAGAGAGAGGAGCGCGAGAGAGGGAGGGAGAGGGGGCGAGGAGCGAGCCTGGCTTCCAATTGCTCGGTGGGAGAGACGGAATGAGAATTTAGGGCAGGTGGCACTTTGCGTTATTATTATTTGGGTTCCCACATGCCAGGCAAATCCTGGAGCGGGATGGAAATGGACGTCGCTACGTTGATGACCAAGGTCGCGACCCGTCCCAACTTTTTCCGCCTTTTGTCGGCGGGGAGAGGGGAGCGAGCCCAGCTTCCCCAGCCTGGAGAACGCTGCCGGGCTCAAAGGCTTCGGCGGGGGCAGATTGTTCGGGAAGCTAATGAGCCTGAGAAAAGCAGGGATGCTGGTGGCGAGGAGAGCAGGGGGCTGCAAGGAATCCGGACTGCCTTTGCAGGGCTGTGGGGGCTGACGGTTCGGGGGAGAGGGACTCCTGAGGAATGCGCCAGGAACTTTGGACTGCCAGCGGACTCGGGAATTGCTTGTGTCGCACTTAGTAATGCCTCTTTGTTTTTTTGTTGTTTTTTTTTTTTTTTAGATGTTTTCACCTCCTGTGAGCAGCGGGAAAAATGGACCAACTTCCTTGGCAAGTGGACATTTTACTGGCTCAAGTATGTACCGTTTTTTTTTTTTTTATTTTTTGTTCCATCCGTAGTGAAAACGTTGGGATTTATTTATCCGTGGGCATTACCTTTGTTGTGGTGCTTTAATCTCTCGTGGGGAGCAGATTCGTTCGGATTGCAGCGGAATTATTCCTAAGCGCCGGTTATTCTTATTCTGATTTTTATTATTACTGTTATTATTGTTATTTCCACGAGCTTGGGAGGTTTTTAGAGCGTTGCCACGCATTTCTGATTTTTTAAAAACCCCTGGACTTCTCCTCTGTTTAATCATTGCTTAAAATTGTTCTAGTTTTACAGTAGATTTATCTTTTTCTTTTAGTGATTCGAGCCCTGGAGAATTTTTTATTTCCAATTCCAAAGCTTCTCTTTGTCTGTCGGGGACCATAGTCAAAACCTCTTGTGTGCAAATTAATTTTGTGCGTTAGAATTGAGGCAGAATCGAAGGCTGTTGCAGTTAAATAAATAAAACAAGTACCCGAGTATAAACACCAGGAAAAAAAAAAGTCTTTAGGATTAGAGAGGGCTGTTTGCTGATGGCATTTTTTTGGGGGGGGGGGAATTAAAACATTCAAGTGACTTTCTCTTGCTGCTTGAAGCCAGGGCGTTTTTTGGAAGACTTTCCTGAAATTGAGGTGGACCATTTGTTCCTCTGGCTGTGCTGGGGCTGATGGGCATCTCCCGCGCTCCCTAAAAACGGGAGTGGGATGACAAAAGCGGTCTGGGAGCTCTCTGCAGCAGACCATGTGTGGACAATAATTGTCTGGCAACTCAAGTTTCTAGAGAGGCTTTTATGTGCCTGACAAATGAGAGCTGCCAAAGATCCCTGCTGCACGTTTCCTCGCTCTGGGACGCGGTTGCTTTTCTCCACGCGCAGGTAGGGAGCCGCGGTGTTTTCACTTCCCGGGCAATTCCGCGTGCCGGCGCACCGGCTCCCGCTCTGCACGGGGACTTTGGGCAAGGCTTCCCTGGAAATGCGCAGGGAAACCCCTCCCTGATAGTGGCAGGTTTGCTCGGGTCAAGGCTCCTCTTTATTCAGTATTTAGCTTTTTATTTCCAGAGGGGGATTTCGGCTTCTTGGAAGTTTGGTCTGGGTTTTTTCAGCTCAGTCTTCACCTAAACGCTCATTTTGTGCCTTTGATTCTATTTAGGCTTTCAAAATAACAAGCTGGGTTTGTTTTATCATCCCAAACTTGCTTATATCGGGAGACAGCAACTTGGAGAATTTTGCTCTTGGCCTGGGATAACTTTCCAAACATGAGCTGTAGGTTTGAATCCCAGTTTTTGTCCTTTTCTGACATAATTTTCGAAGCGACGAGGCCGGATCTAGAATCTCCACTCTATTTGTTTTCACTGGAGAGGAGCGCGGAGTGGTTGTGCCAGACAAATCAATTTGTCACGCTCAGAGCCCGGTCCATGCAGCAAGCACCACTTGGGCTGACAGCAAATGACTCCAGAGTTATATTTAATAATTCCTCCTAAAGCTCATCTCCGGAGTCATTTGGATCAGGAGGACAAATCAATGGCGTTTCGTTGTCCCGCGAGCCGAAAGAATCGGAGGAATTCTGCCGCATCCTCACGTAGCGAAGAGGATGATTTAACGAGCTGCAGGAAGTTAGGAATAAGGAGATAAAGACCACTTAAAACAACACCTGAACTCTGCCACGGCCAGAATTCCCAGAGAATTCCCTGACTCACGCCGTGCCTGGCGCTGGAGGATGAAGGGAAGGCTTGGCGGAGCGGCGGGCGCCGTGCCTTGGCGGTTGTGTGCACAATGGCAGCAAAGGGTGTCTCTGGAAGGGAAAATCGAGGCGATTTCCCACTCGCAGTACCTACTGCTTGCTTATTACCCAGGGAATTTTGCAGCGAGTGCCTGGTGCTTCCCAAAAAGTTGGGGGTTAATCCCCCCCCAGCCCAGGCTGCTCCCGGGCAGAGGGTGGAGGAAGGATGCGTGGCCTGAGGATGGAGTTGGTGGCTATTGTTTGCCCGGGCAGGGATGTGAGGAGCAGGGATTTGGGAAATTGGGATTGGATCTGAGAATACCTGGCTGCTTTCTGTGGCAGGATTAAAGGCAGCTCCACGAATAACGTAGCCTGTTATTCTAATTATGCAGATTGCTAACGGGGAATTGCAGCGAGCGGGGCTGGATCCTGCTTTTCCTCCTGGAAGTTCTCCCTCTGAAGTTTGAGCCGACCTTTAAATATTCCTCTTGAAAAAGAGATTTACGGAGATTCTCTGCATTAACCCCAAAGTTCTCTTTACAGAGGGGAGTAAGCGGAGATTAAAATAAAAACCAGGCGCCTCGAAGTAATCCCAAGCAGGGAAGTGAAACTAAGTGGACTTTAGGAAGTGTGGGAATAATTCCTGCTTAAAGTCATCCCCGTGGCTTTTTCCTCAGCTAATCCGCGATGCCGTGTTGTGATTTGCGACGCGCGAGGGGAAAGAAAGTAAAGCCCCGTTCCCTTTGAATCTTGAATTCCACAAACATGGCTTCTCCCCATGTTCCAAAGCGGGGGGGAGAAAGGAATGTAACCTGAGCTCCAGCCGTGACATTCCCAGGGAGCATTTTTCACATGAAAGGCTTTTGTCAGCCCAGGAAAGGACCAGGAGTTTCTGTTTGATGTTTGCAGGTGTTCGGGAGCAGGGCACTGAACCAAGGCTGGAGCCTCTGACCTGAACTGGGGGAGACTGGAGGGATTGGGAAGCGAACTCCCCTGGAGTTGCCTCCAATTTAGATCGTATTTGGAAAGTGATTTAATAGCTGTTACTTCAATCGAACAATGCACATTCATTGGGTTGAAGTGGGGGGTTGCTTTTTATTTTTTCCTGCTTTGTTTGCCCTTTTTTTAGGACGGTTGCCAAAAAAAGAAAAATTCATTTTCTCGCATCTACTAAAATTTTGGGAGGAGTTTGCGATGGCTTCCGTAGTAAATTTATCTGAAATTTATCCTCATTTATGTGTGAGGCACTATAAAATGAGGAGATGATCGCCGGGGATCGGATTTTGAAGCAGCTTTTCCCCCAAGAATTCCCTGGGTCTGTCACATTTGACATATTTCGGTTTTTTTATCTGTTAATCAAAGCCCACATCTTCCTGATTCCGTTCAATTTCTGCTCCTTCTATTTAAAGGCTGGAATTTTACCTCCGTTTGGGAGCATCTGTTCTGGATTGCCCACTCTGTAGCTGTTTGAATAGCGTGTGGGTGGGAGCAGAATCAGAGAAAAGAGGAATTTTTATCATTGGCCGTTCCCGTGGCCCAGAAAAAAAAAAAGGGAAAAAAAATCTCCAATCTTTGCCTGACCTAATCAAGCAAAGTCCCTTTAAAGGATTTAAATCCTCGCTTTTCATTTTGCCATTAGTTTGATTAGGGCTTGGCCTGCATTAGAGCGCCAAATTAATACATCTCTAACGAGGGAATCACAAATCCAGCACAGTTTAAATTCCTTGGGTTTTTTTAATTCGGGATGTTCGGTGAGGAAATCACAAGGAATATTGTGGAGTTTTTTTTTTTTTTTTAAGTACAGTCTGGTTTTGGAGTGTGGCCCGGTGGGGAAAGCTGCAGGATTTTGTTATTATTGTTTGATGATCAAAAATAAAATGGAATGAATTGGAGGCTTTCTTGGGAAGATGCTTTGGAGCTGCTCAGGTGAGGCACACCTGGGATGCCTGCACGGATCCCAGCAGGAAGGATCTGTGCCAGGGAGGATTTGGGAAGCCAGGGCTTCTCGTGCGCAAATGCCGTTCCAAAGAACAAAAAAGAGTGGGAAAAAAAAACCTCTAGGGCAGAGATTTTGGAGTAAAAACCCTTGGTGAGCAGGTGTGGAGCTGCTCACCAAGGGGAGCCCCCGTTTTTCACAGGAAAAGAGGGACAAGGATGCTGGAGTTTGGGTGTTGGCTCGCCCCGCGTCGCCACCTTTGCCAGGCAGAATTCCAGGGCTCGGGAGCCTGCCTGGCTCGTATTCCTGCTGGCTTTTCCCTGCTCCTTCCCTATTTTCCGTGGCCGATGTTTCGTAATTATGATTGAGGAGAAGAGGAATGCTGTTACCTCCCATCCTCGCAGCTATGTTTACTCGGGATCCTCCTCCCCTCCCATCCTCATCCCAGCCACTTCCTTGGGGGCAGCGAAAGAGCGTTGGGAATTGACCCGAGCCAACCCTTGGAGCTCTCTTGGAGGAGGAACTCAGAGCAGAAAAATCCTGGATCTCACCGGCGGCGCGAGCGAACGGAGCGCGGCCCGCAAAAAGGCCGAGCTGTCGTGGTAATTAAACAGCTAAACCCTGGATAACGGAGATGGGGATTTTTAGGTGATTTTTTTGTCATCCTATTTCCGAGCTACCTCGTCGGGGCTCCGGAATATGTTTAATAATTCACAATTCCCTGGCGGAGAGATTGAAGCGCTCCGGGCCCGCGCGCAGCCAAATGTCACTTGCTGTGGGGACACTCTGCCCGCCCTTGCCAAGTTTAGCAGGAGCAGGAATGATGGCTCGCGTTATTCCCTGGATCTGAGGGATCTGGGAACAAAGTGTGTCTGTTAAAACAGGGAACTTAGGCCTGGCTCGGGCTTGCTCAGGGAAAAAAAAAAACATTTGAGGTACAATTTGCCTTCTTCCCATTGGATTTGTACTCGTGCCACTCCCAAATTCATACGGATTTTTGGCGGAGGCAAAAGTGGCTTCGGTGGCCTGAATTCCCAAGGAACGTGAGATAGGCACAAATAATCCTGGGAACACCAAATTTTCATCTTTCACTGCTCTTTTTTTTTTTTTTTTTGCTGCTGCAAAAATAAAGTGATTGAATTTTTTTATCTCCCTCCCGTTATTGAAAGAGAATTTGGGCATTATTTGGATATTTTCCTTGTGTAGGAAGTCAGAGGATTTAAGCCCCTGCTTTGGGATCCCAGGAATGTTACGAAGAAGCTGCTTGAAGTATTTTTTTTTTTTTATATAGGATCAGCAAATCTCTTTGTAGTATTGTAACGGGGAATAACTTA